CTCCCTATCTCGATTTCCTAGCGACACCAAGTACAAGCAGCGTAAGTTGTTGTTTGTTCAGTAGCCCGTGACGCTGATTGTAGCGAGTACTGCTGTAGACAGCGCAACGTGCCTGTCAAAACCCGCTACTAATGACGATGACGATTACCCTCAGTTTTATACTCTAGACGAGCTGCGACTGAATGCTTAGCAGCAATGGAAGCGTTACTTCCCATGTCTGCTCATATCTGAGATGTCAGACAGGCGGCCTTGCATGAAGTGCACAATCTGCATGGCGCACGGCGGCCTGATTACAAGTACGGTCACAACAGTGAAGGCGACGTCGACATTCAGAAGCAGAGTATGATGATACATCACCACAACATCAAGCATGAGGCGGCATAGGCCCGGAAGCATCAATACGAGGGAGCTGAAAAAAAGTCTATTGCAGACTTCAAGAGCGGCGAGGAGGCTGCGTGTCGAATCAAGCGCTTGATGATCATCGTGCTTTTCATTTGCAAGCCAGACGCCACCATTGCCCTCTTTGTTTCCCTCGTCCAGTTCATGGCTGAACAGGGGACTTCAGATCTACCACTGAAGGGCATGAGTACTTATGCAAGTATGTAAGTTTCGCGGCTTTAATATCATTCAAAGTGTTGTGATGCACTAACTACTTCGTACGTTTTGTTTATGGTAGGTGTGGTTTCAAGCAGTTGGTAGAGATGCTAGTGACCTACCCTAGGGCGAAGCAGATGCGAAATATCATGGAGAGTCCCTACATTGGTCTTCAATTGGATAAGAGTATGGATAGACGGCACGGCAAACCTATGTTCGTGTACATCACATTCATCCGCGATGGATTTGTCGTCACTGGGCTCTTCTCTAACATCACTGTGGACAAATGTGATGCGGCATCAGTGCAGGCAATGCTTTTAACGCATATAAAGTCGCGGGGTGTGGACATCTCAAAGATCGTTGGCATCAGCACCGACGGAGCGAGTGTCATGATTTGAGGGCAGACTGGTCTGGTGGCGCACCTGCGAAAGAAGGTTGCTCACCTCGTGTCCTTCCACCGCATCGCTCATAGGTATGCGTTATGGTTTGAGTATTCATTGCTGTGTAGTTAAGACCCCACAACGTGCTACTAACTTTGTTGCTTGCACGCGTGCAGGGAAGCCTTGGCTGCGAAGGACACCGTGCTGGTTTTCCCCGACTTCGACATCGTAAATAAGGACGCGGTGAAAGTGAAAATATCGCTGGATCGTTTTACATACATCGAGCCCCCCAATCGAGTGGACAGATCATTTGGCGAAACGTGGTGACCGCGATGTTGTAACGATCGCATATAAGAATTGATCGATCACCCGCATTCAGTGATTAGTGGCATTCACAAACTACAGAAATTTTGTGCAAAAAGCGTACTGTAGCATGGTTACAGCGCAGTTTATTGGGTAACCAATCTGCACATTGATCGCAATTGATAATCGATCATATGCTTTCACCTCGTCCTAAGGTGGTGCAATCTCTTGTGGAGATCATGGGTGGCTCGATTGTCATTCATGCAAGATTCCAAGAGCTTCAGGACAACGGGTGCAACACCAATCTGGAGATACACGGGATATACAACATCAGATGGCTGTCGCGCAGTGACGCTATCCAGCGCTTCATTCACTTCTTCCTTGCTAGCATCGTCTTGATGCACGAGTAGAAATGGAAGAGTTACAAGATCGTGACCAGTTTCAAGTTTCACTTCCTACTATTCTCCCTTGCCAATGTCTTGAAGGAACTAAACACCCCTAGGTGAGCACTGATTATGTCACACTCTTCTTCTAGAGAGTATCAGTCCCTATAGGTGTCGGAACTAATGTTTTCTGGTTTTGTTTATCTTATTGCTGCAGGTGGACTGCACGTAGGTGCTGTGGATGGTCGACACAACAACGATATTCCTGCGTACTTGTTATGTCGACTTTTGTACCACGTTTGGCGGTAACACCAGCTACCTTGCATCGACACGAAAACTGCCACATAAGCAGAGTCACGGTGGAGGGAACCGGCTGCGATGGATAATAGGCGTTTGAGCTACATGAGAATCGCATCGACGTGCAAAGCAGTGGCGAGGATGCACCTTTGTGCATCAAACTGGCGTCGGAGTTTGCTGCAAAGCTCATCTACCACCTCGACTACCGGCTTCAAGATCTCAGTTGCCTCAGCAGAACAAAACTCTTACGACATGGCTTATACCCTGATTTGCGTGCGACGCAGGAGCGTAAGAGTATTCAGTGGTTGCAGCCTTTTCGGCTACTATTCAAGCGCAAAGAAGAAGCTGATGACACCATCCAAGGTGATTGATACATTATTGACGATGCGTTGCTGGTTCTAAAAATATGATCACACTTGCAGAGTTTATGAACATATACCCCCGGTCATTGAACATCATGGTAAATGCATCATGTTCTATAGTTGTACTAATTGGGGTGTAGTAGTATTATTTAGTTTGTGCATGGAGTAGTTGGGACATTGGGGGAAGCGCGAAGTTGGTAGCATTGGGTGTTGCAGGGCGCTACTGTGAGGATCGAGGATCGAGTTCGGAAAGGAGAATGAAAACTGATTGATCCACCTGGATACAACACGAGGCTATATAAAGTCTCGACACAATACAGATAGCCCAGGTGTTACGCGAATGTTCTGAGGGTCGCGAAGCATCCTGAATAGAACCTTCCCAAATTTGGTAGAAAGCATTTCGGCGGCAAACGAAAGGCTTGGAATTCGGTACATGTAACCTGGTTCCATGCTATAACTATAATAACATATAAGAATGAACCTAATCTAGGAAATCAAGCTTTAATATGCAAGATAAAATAACCTTAAGCTACTAATGCCGATGAGTGCGAACACGTTCCACCTCGTACTCTGGTTCATCCCGTACGAGCACACGGGGTGGTGGCAGTAGCTGCCATCCCCGGAATTGTTGGTTGGGGTCCTTGTAGGGTTTCAGTAGCTGAACATGGAAATTGTTCTGAAGCTTCCACGCTTCGCAAGCGGAATGGAACTGATGTCACCTGTGCCTCAACAAGAAAGGGACCACAGAAGCGAGGCCGGAGTTTGGACGGCAGGTTAGACAGGTTCAAATTGCGTGTCAAGAAGCACCTGATCTCCGACTGCTAACATGTGATCACGTCGCTGGCGATTGGCATACTGCTTCTGGGAGTTCTGCATCATGATGAGACATCACTGAGTCTTCTCCTATAGCTGCTGCATGGTGGTGGCAAATTCGTGTGTGGCTTGGACGTGTGCCAGTGTAGTAGGCTGTTGTGGTGTCAATTTTTCCCGTCCGTAACACATATAGCGTTGTTGTAAGCGAACTCAAGTGTTGGTAACTGCAAGTCCCAATGGTTGATGTCGTCTTTGCAAGCTGTGCGCAGTAACTGTTCAACCACCTGATTGAGACGCTCAGTCTGTCTATCAGTCTGGGTGTGGTACACTGAAGACATTGCAAGCTTTGTTCCCAACAAACCCATGGTTTTCCTCTAAAACATACTCGTAAATTTCTGGTCTCTGTCTGAGATGGATGTAGCGGGGATGCCGTGGATGGTGATGATGCGGTCGAAGAAGAAGCGAGCAGTTGCTTCAGTTGTAGCCGTGGCGTTGGTTAGAATGGAGTGTCCCATTTTGGAAGTCGAGGCTGACGACTTGCCATGACTGCTCCGTTACGGGAAGAGGCTGAAGTAACCCTGCTTGTCTTTGCTTGCTACTCTTCATTTGCTGGCACGTGTCATATGAGATGACGATCTGCTGCACGTCTGCTGTCATCCGAAGCCAGTAGTAATGCTTCGCTATCCCTGCTAACGTCTTGTTGCTCCAAAAATGTCCCGCGTAAGGTACGTCGTGAAACTCCTCCATTAGGATTTGCCGTACGGGGCATAGTTCGGTACCTAAATCTTCCCTGAACTCTTCGTTACAGCTAAGTCTTTCTCCTACTGTAACAGCTTCTGTTTTTGTGCTGTAGCGATCTCTTCATCCACGGAGTACCCATGTTGGAATAGACCCTAGCGCAGAGGGTTCATCCCGTCGAGTTGGATGCCTGCTACATGACCGGGGCGGCTCCACGCGTTAGCTTTGTTGTGTAGCCCGTGCTTGTAGACGATGTCGTGGTGGAAGTGAGACTCCAAGAAGTCCACCCATCGCACCTTCCATTGTGAGAGCGTCGGCTGCGACTTGAGGTATTTGAGGTAGAAGTGGTCAGCGTGAACTGTAGTCTTGGCTCCCTCTATGTAACACCTCCACGCCTTGAAGGCTGTGACTATCGCTAAGGCTTCCTTGTCATGGATTGGGTAGTTCAATCTGCTCCGTGTAGCTTCTTATTGAGGTAGGCGATAAGCTGCAAACCGCGTCAGTGATCCTGCATTACTACTGCTCTGACTGCCCGGTCATTATCGTCTGCTTCCACCACGTATTCCCTGTATGGATCCGGTAGGCTGAGTATTGGCACTGTAGTCAGTGCTGTCTGTAGCTGCTCCATGGCTTGCTGTTGAGGAGTATCCCATTTATAGGGCGTATCCTTTTTCAGTAAGTTCGTCAGTGGAGCTGCGATCCTAGCGTACTGTGTCAAGAACCTGTTGTAGTGGTTGGCAAAGCCTAGGAACTACTGCAACTCCTTCACATTCTCAGGAACTTTCCACGTCTTGACGGCTTCAGGAAACCTCGCCCTAAGATAAAACCTAAACCTTTGATGTTTATGATCGACAACGTCGTCTTCCACCTTAACGCACCTATGTACGTCTACCTCCAAGTAAGGCTCATTCACTACTGGCAGCATGATGCCTGCCATCTCGACGGGTAAATTTGTTCTCGTCTGTATCTAGTTGTCGCCGAGGTCTCGCGACGGTACGTGTTCAGTCGTCCAAAGGCGATACTGCACACTCGATGCTGTGTTAGGCCTTCGCGGAGTGTTGTCCACCGTTTGAAAGGACCTCACGGCCGCCACTCATTCGGCCCTCTCAGCGATCGTCAACTGTGCAGCAATGTTGGGCAGTTTGGGAACTTGGGGCGGCGGAGCGGTGTTCCGTTGGGTGTTGTTCGGTGTGGCGTTGTTCGGCGGGGTGTTTATCGACGGAGTTACGGTTGGCGAAGCGTTAAGTGGCGTGGTGTCGTTCGGCGGGGTGTTGTTCGGGGGGGTGTTGTTCGGGGGGGTGTTGGGCGGAGGGGTGTTGTTCGTCGGGGTATTGTTCGGGGTGTTGTTCGGTGGGATGTTGTTCGACTGGTCCCTGGCCATTCGAAACCGTTCTATGGATTCTCGTTGACGACGTTTATACTTCGGCAACGAACAATGACGTTGGCCTCGATCGGATGTCGTCGACCTAGCTAATACAGCGAATGATACAAAGTCGGCAGCCTGGAGTCTATGTCAACCTATACGGACTCTACACTGGTGTGGCTCGTCGTCGACCCAGCACCTGGCGCGGTCGGTCGGTCCTAGGGTAGCGGAAAAATGATTAAGGGTCTAAAAGTGAGAGTGTGGCTTCCTAGAATGAGAGTAAATGGAACAGAAAGAACAAGAGACCAAATGACAAAGAGGTTCTCTTGACGGTGGGTCATAGCAGAGAGCGCCACTGTCGCGGTTCGGGCGAACCGGCGTTGGGGGGAGAACCATGGGCAGGTCTCTAAATCTGTATGCATGGCAGAATGGCGGTGCTCTGGATGACGCGGCACGGTGCACGCATGGCTGCGTCGCAGTCGACTTTCCAGTGTTCCGGCCTTCTTGGTCGGGATTACACATCAGCGTGACAGAACATTGCTCATCGCGTCACCCGAGATGGTATCCCGCGGGCAGTTTCCCGCCAACAGGTCGACCAAGGCTTGGCCGCCGCGTGGACATGGGCACGCCGACGATGTTAGACGCGTGGATTTTTTGGTTCGGGATGGGCGACATCTGGCTTTGCGCGCCAGAGCGGTGGTCGGCCGGGGGTCTCTATCGGCGTCTTGACCCAGTCCACGCCAATGAATCGTTGGAAGTCGTGGCACGATGGCCGCGATCGGCGGCGTGAACGTGTCACCATAGTATGGAGGGTCCGTTGAGAGGTGCTATTAGGGTATCTCTCATCGGGATCGCCGGTTGACGCAGGGTGACGCTCCTTGGCTAGGACGTGCCCGCAGTTTGCCGGACGAGGATGAAGCAGGTGTTGGGTGCAAAATACTATTTTTGCACTGCAACCAGCCGCCTGCATGACGTTATGCATTTTGTGTGTGTTCAGTGTGCATTCGTTTTCGCATTTCGTTTCATGTGTTCTTGCAGTGGGATCATGTTCAGTCATGACGGATCATGACGAGTCATGTTCGTTCATGTCGGCTCATGTACGCTCATGCTTTCTTTTCATGGACGAACATGTGCGTTCATGAAAGTTCTGTGTTTCATGAATGTTCTGTATTTCATGAATGTTGAATTGTTTCATGAGTGTTGTTGTGAGTGTCAAGTGTGTTTGAGTTTGGGGCTTGATTGTTTGACCAGCCCTGTTGACCAGTTCGCGCAGGTTAACAAAAAAAGTGCCGCGCGTGGGGTCCTGACACACGCGTGTGGCCCCACAGAACATGCGCGGGTGTCAGCACTATTTCAATCGTGCACAATGCGCACGATCGCTACAGAACGGAGCAATCTGACTGCTCCGTCACGCGCAGGACAACGCACGATCGCGTCAGCGTTCATCCTGTCCTGCACGACCGAGAAATATCTAGGTCGTGATGAGGGGCACGCAAGATTTTACGGTTGACTAACGGGATTTCGCGCTAACCAGGCGAGCAGGAAAAATTCGCCAGAAATTCGGGGTGCTTTGCGTCATCATTTCGACAGTGGTACAAAACGGTGAAGTCTGTTTTGTAACTGAAAACGAGAAACCCGCGCGAGTGATCATGATTAATACACGAGCGATCATGGATGTTCATGAGGCTAGTCAGCAGAAGAATTTGGCACCAGTGCAGGTTGAAGACAGTTATTCTACAGAGGCAAATCAAGCCAAATTCTGAAGCAGTTTTACAACCGTTTTCCATGACAGCAAAGCACAGACCTGGACGACAGTTAGACAACTGCCTTGTGTATTTTCCTTTGTGTGCCTAGGACCTCTATTATATGTGTGCTTGTATTTGCTTTACACAACAATGCTTTTATGGTTTTTTCAAGTGCAAATTCTACTACTACGTATTGACGAGTAGAATCACCACGAAGTGCTGCCGAAACTCTGCTCTACCAGAACACTCACCTTACAAGCTAGGTGACACACTGTCACACTCGGGGGCTATACAAGTGATGTTAAGTGTTTCTTAACTTATGTTCGTGATCTGAGTTTAATCGCTTCCGCATATTACTTTGACTTAACACGTGGTATCAGAGCTGGTCCATAGTCGTTTCTGACGTACCCGGTGACGGGAGAGACTAGTGAAGAAGGAAACTCAGCCCCTGCGAATAGTGGTAGCCAGGAATCTGGAGTATCCACGCCTAGGGGAGCACGAACGAACCAGGGCCCGCTGCTAAGGGAAGTGCTGAAGAACTTCACAGTTGACAAATTTAGTGATGAAGGGTACGACGACTGGTCCTGAAAGATGCAGCTTTATTTTCGCAAGATAGAACTCCTCAAAGTCATGATCGGTAGTGAAAAGCGCCCTAGCAATCCGGAGCTCCAGGGCAATTGGGATGAACGTTCATCAGCTGGATACTATATCCTTTCTCATATCTTAGACCTCGCCCAACGCCAGCATTTAATGTACCTGCTCTCAGAGGATGAGTGCGGACCCAAGGCGTGGGCCGTGCTCAAGGATCTCCACGCACCAACATCAGTTGTAGCCACTCTAATGCTCGAGAGAGAACTCTCCACCATGTGCCTCAGTGAAGGAGAACCCGTTGAGCCCATCCTAGATAAGCTTAGGGACCTGCCGGCATCACCTACCCCGAACAAACCAAGTGTGTGAAGATGCTGTCGCTGCTGGCGGAGTCTTGGATGGTCTTCACCAGCAGACTCAGTCTTCCCCAAAACCAGAGAATCTAGACATTGGAGTGGATCCATACTAAGATTCTTGAGGAGGACTTTCGGAGGCGTCAGTTGAGGGGAAGTGAAGAGGGGAGCAGCTATGCCATGCAAGGAGGAAAATGGGGTGGAGACAAGAAATGGCAAAGGGCTGGGAGAGGAGCTTCCAAGGACGAGGAGCCCTCCAACCAGCAAGGCGGCAGAGGAGCAGGACGCGGCGGAGGCAGAGGGGGTAGAGGTGGTAGAGGCGGTGGAAGGGGACCTGGGAGGATGGAGGGCAAGTGCTGGTACTGTGAGAAAGTGGGCCACCCGTGGTTTAAGTGCAAGACTAAACCCACCTGGTGGACCCCCTCCAACAGGACTCAAGATGGGAGCGGCGCCGAAGCGGTTGCCGATGATGAACCGACCGAGCAGGAGGAGAGGGAAGCAGGTCAGTTCTTCCACGTAGGAGAGCCGGATAAGGACGCAGTGGTCGCCCATGATGGAGCTGCACTTCACCCACTCAACACGTGGATTTTGGATACAGGAGCGGCATGGACCATGACTCCAAGGGCCGGCCTCCTAGACAAAGTGGGGACTGCATCGATTGCGAAGGTGAAGTAGGCATCCGGGCACGCTCTCAAGGTGATGGGGGTGGGACGTGCTGCATTCAAAGGAGCCGATGGTAAACCGGTGGTGCTAATTGATGTAATTCTTGTCCCTGATCTTAAAGCTAACCTCATCTCCCTCAGGAAACTAGGCAAGTGCGGGGTCAGCACATCCACCGAGGGAGCCAAGACATTCATGAGGCAACTGGGAAAGCGTGTGTTGTGGGACCTTCACGAGAGCCGTGACATCTGCAACTCCATGTGGCAGCTTCCTGTAATGACATGGGGCAAGGAGGGTGGATCCGAGGGGGAGTGCAATGCTGTAGCTGCAGAGGAGCTGAAGGTTTCAGCAAGGAGCGGTGAAACGGACTGGATGACAGCCCACCGTCGCCTCGGGCACATTGCTATGCCCGCACTGCAGCAACTGCAAAAGGAAGAAGGGGTTAAGGGACTGAAGCTGACAGGTGCAGCAGCAACCCACAAATGTGAGACTTGCTTGCTAAGCAAGTTCACTCGGTTCCCGTTCCATGCAACCGAGGGAGGTGGCAAGAAACAGCTGGAGCTGGTGCATATGGATGTGGTGGGGCTGCTACCGGTTGTGGGGGAGCGTGGTGAGAGGTAATTCCTCACCATCGTGGATGATTGGAGCCGAGTCACATGGGCTTACCCACTCAAGAAGAAGGACAATGTGCCGTCCACCATACGCGATAAATGGCTGCCAATGGTGAAGAAACAATCCGGGCAGAAGATGAAGCGGATTAGGACCGACAGGGGTGGGGAGTTCCTCGGGGAGGAGCTGACTGCATGGCTGAAGAAGCAGGGCATCACTTGAGAGCTCACCACCTCTTACACACCACAGTCCAACGGCATCGCGGAACGGGCAAACCGCACGGTATTAGAAACGGCACGGGCATTTCTCATTGAGTCGGGGTTGGGGAACCCAAAGTGGCCACATGCTGACGCCACGCCACGGTGGTTAAGAACAGGGTGTTCACCAACGTCAGTGGTGAGTCATGGGTCCCCATGGAGAGGTGGCTTGGGAGGAAGCCGCCCATTGACATGCTGCGTGTGTTTGGCTGCATGGCTGTGGCCCACATCCCAAAGGCCCATCGCCGCAAGTTGGGTGCAACGGCTGTGTGGCGTGTGCACTTGGGGATGGCAGCCGAAAGCAAGGGGTGGCTTCTGTGGGAGCCGACCAAGGGAATTGTGTTTGACAGCAGGGATGTCAAGTTTATGGAAGACATTACCTACGGGAGCTGGTCCAAGCAGCCAAAGGAGCAGGTCGTGCAGCAAGTGCAGCAGGCCACCATGGGGTTTGAGATTGAGGAGTGGATTGGGGGGTAGACTTCAACGGCACAGGGGGAGGAAGGTGCAGCAGAGCTTCCCGTGATCAAGGACGTGGAGCCATCGGCTGTACCAGATGAACCTCACCCCATAACACGTGTGCTTCCTCCCACCCTTCCCCAAAGAAGGTCCCAAACCAAATCTCCTCCCACAGGCCGTGGTTTTTCACCCGTGATCGAAAGGCAGATGCGAGCAGCCGCATTGAAGCTGAGGGACTACAAAGTAGCAGGGAGAGAGCAGCAGCAACCCGATGCGTTACTGGTGCTTCAAAGCAGCTGTGACTCCGCAGATGAAGAAGTCTACTCCTTCATAGCACCCACACCAACTCAGCCACTGACCATGGAAGAAGCCCTTAAC